CGCTCGAGCTCTCCTCGCGATTCATGCAGTTCACGCTTCAGCTACACGCCTTCTCGACCTGGCCGCCTGGGCCCGCCTTCCCGACCTGCCCGTTAAAGTCTACCCGCCCGATGGGCCCATGTGGTTTTGCCACGTGTTTTCTGCTCCTAGCCCCCCTCCTGCTAATCCTGTGCGCCATTTTTTCCCCTTCCACCCGTCTTCTCTTCATCTGTTTCAGGGGCTGCGCCAGTTACGCGCGGCAGGTAAGGAATACATTTTTCCAAAGAGGTACAATCGAAAACGAAGAGGGCGGGTACCCAGTGTTTGGGACATACGTGTTAACTGGCAAGCGAGCAGGTCAGAACGAACAGTCTTTTAAACTACTATTGTTGTTGCCGTTGCTGCTGTTGTTGTGTTGATGCTGATGGTGTTATTGTTGTTGTTGTTGTTGCTGCTGCTGTTGTTGTTATTGTTGTTGTTGTTGCTGCTGCTGCTGTTGTTGTTGTTGTTGTTGTTGGGGCACGTATCCTGCTTACTACGAGGGAAAGTCTTGCGGTTCATTTTGGGTAGCTTGCACCCGAAGTATAACAACAACGGCTCTCACCTGATCGCCTCACAACTTATTTCAATTTCGCGCTCTCGCCCGGGAATTCCCATGCTTGATTCAGGAATCGCGCTCCCGCGGTACGCTTCCGTGCAAATTCAGACAGCATCCGCGACACCCCAATGACGATTCATAACGACTCGACCATCCCGCCTCTCACCGCAGCCGAACTCCACCGAACAATCCAACACCCCACGAATGGCAGGTGCGAAGACACCGCGGGGGTCATAGCAGAAGTGCTCAACGCTGGGGTCGCTAGCATACACCGCCACCTGCTCCGCCACTGCAACGACATCATCATACATGACCAGACCCCACCTGACCATTAACAGAGCACCTCCGTCATGTGCAAATCTGGGGGCCCTAGACTGGGGGGCAGTTGCAGGCCAATTGCCATTGTCCCATTGAAACACACGCTGATGTCCCGCCTCATTTGCAACCGGCTGAGCTCTCTTTTCGATTCGCAGCAGTGCCCTGACCGAGCAGGCCGCCGCAAAAAAAATTGCTGCACGGGTGGTCACCTGCGCACCACAGCGAGGCGACATTAGGCGTCTTCACGAGTGAGGCTGCTTCTATGGGCAGCAGTCGACTTCGAGAAGGCGTTCGATTGTGTAGACCACGAGCGATTATGGGAAGCTTGAAGACAACAGCGCACACCTCCTGCTGCACAAACTTTTCTAAGCAATCGTGTTGCACCCAAGTTGCAACAGTCAGGATAGACACCACCGGCAGGGCTTTCAGTATCGAGCGGGGCTTGGAAAAGGGAGACCCGCGGATCTTTTTCTTGTTCAATGCTGCCCTCGAGCATGTGTTCAGGCAGGTGAAACCGGAGTGGCAGCGCAAGAGGTTTGGGATCCAATTCGGCTTCGCACCACTAGCACGGATCACAAATCTTCGTTTCGCCGACGATGATTTGCTCCACGCTTCCGAGTTACGACATTTTTCCTGCATGCTCTCGAGATGTAAAATCCCAAGCCGAAACATGCGGTCTGGCAGTGCGCCCAGAAGTATCCAACATCTTGACGTACTTCATCCGGAGTGAAAGAATAACAGTTTCCAAGTTCGACATCAGTTTTGAAAATTTGGAGGAAATTATGCGCTCCGATCAGAGCACGAAATATTGCGGAAGGAAAGTCGCTTTGAACGATTTTCTGGATACAGAGCTGTGCATTGTGATTGCCGCAGGCTGGGGTCACTTCAGCAAATTCAGATACGAGCTGATACACAAGCGCTTTCCGCTCCATAGTCGAGGCTCTTCAACGGAACAATCGCAGCATCAGTGATGTTGGAGGCTTTTCTTGGACCCTCACCAGCGAGATGTTCTTCATTTTACGACGTTTGCAGCGGATAATGCTCAGGCTTGTAATACTGGACGCCACGGCGTCGCAATCTACAAAACCACGCCCGCGACGACGATGCCAGCAAAATGGTTAACACAGACGCAGCAGACACCCCCAGCCACCACGACAGAGCCGACGGCAGAAAAGAAAACGGGTTGGAACCGTGCGAGGATTTCCTACGAGTATCGACGCACGCAGCCCTGGAGCATGCTCGGCGCGCAGGCGTGGAGGACTGGCCTACGGTATAACTCAAACGGAAGTGGCGGTGGGCATCGCGCGTCGCAGCCCAGGGCTACGGCAGATGGGCGCGGCTCATTGGATTCCGAGCACCCACGACCCACGCCCGACCCAGCGTCGCCACGGAGGACAACGCGAGACATGGAATGCCGAAGCCGCAGAATTGCCACGCACAGTCATCAACGCACGACGGCGACGACGACCACAGAAGGTGGACACACATTGCGA